CCTTCCTCTAACAAAATCTGACAATTCGAGAGAACCTTGAGTTCTAGGCATGTTGTAGCACAAAATAATTAGTGTGCGGACTATTTTCATTTATATATAGTGCTCTGTGAACACAAATTAGTTAGCATAAATCAGTTAAATGACGAAAAATTAAGTGTCTATTTACTTGTGACCACTCAGTGTATATCGTGTTTTAAAGAATATTCTAAAATTTTTCTTTTCAGCTATATACTTTTATTTATTTATTTGGATGTCATTAAGGGTAATTTAACAATACCTTATGGGACAAATTATTTTTGTATATAGTAAGCAGTTGCTTGAATGTTGTAAGGTTTGCTCATTCAAATACAGTGTGGGAGCAAATTTATTATACAATTGGCAACATACGGTTGGCACAATTAATACTAAAGGCAACTTCGTTATTGTTTGCTTCAGAATATGACGCTGCAAATCAAACGATGTTCTATATTAAAAATTGCATAGCCACTTCCGCCCAACTTTGTATTTTGAGTTTGCTAAAGAGGTGTGTGTGTGATTACTAAACGGTTTTGTAATGTTTATTTATTAAATAGATTTCACGAAAATAAACACACAAAGCTATCAGAATATCCATATGTAAATTGTAGTAGTTTTTCACTGTCCTTGCTTTTAGGTGGTCCGCGACAGTTTAGGAAGGTAGCGAGTCGTTCCCTAGTATCAAAAAGGTCAAGAAACGCTGTAGTATAGCACGTTAGTCTTTTATACATATATACAATTATAACCATGTTGAATTCTTTTTCTCGATCTTGTATTGTATGTGTCTTGAATTTCGTGTGACAATTTATGTATATTTATTGTTATGTTTGAGACTCATATTAATTATTTTTATTATCTATTAATGTTTTGTGTCGTAAAATTAGCATTGTAACTTTGTACTATTGTAATTTGGATTTAGATGTAATTGGTATTTTGTTATTTACATTTGTATTGTTGATTTGGATAGATTGATATTGTTTAATGTGGAAGTATTTATTTTGTATAATTATATGTAATATACATTTCACCACTACATAAAACATCGCCATAGTCTTTCTATTTGCACTTGTCCAGGGTTACTGACGAGGGATCGAATTACCTGGAAGTGGTATAACTTAGAGACTAAAAATAAATCGAATGATACATTGAACTTCATATTTATTTTTCAGTATTTTAAACAGCTTGTGTTGTTGAATAATTCAGATGAATAAATTAGTAGCATCAATTCTGCATATTCTTAAAATTCCTATATAAATATAGGATTACTGTGCGAGTAAAATACTTTTCAGTGCATATAATTAAATACATCATAAAACTAATATACTGGAAAGTTACACATTACATTACAAAATAAAAATATGCAAATAAAACAAATTACAAATCGACACTTTAAATACAAAATAAAACTGAACTTAAAATACAGAAATAATTTAAGTCAACAAAAGATTACATTAGTTAAATAAAAATAAATAAAATGCAAATAAATTTAAAGTAAAATAATCATATTAATAAAAAAAAGCACAACTAACAAAAAATTTCAGCTTATATACTGTTATGACTTTGGCAGCAGGTTCACATGTTTGGACGCATTTCCTCGACTTAGTGGTCATCTATGGTAGGACATTATAAACCATCAACAGTTAAAATGGCAAACACTCAAATCAGTTGGCTACAATGTTCTTTTAATGTCAGCAATGCGTCCAGGTCGTGTTAGGCTGAGACCTCCAGGTCTGTTCTCTGTAGTTCTCTCGTGTAAACAATAGACAGGCAGACAGTATATAAGACTCACAGTTTTATTGACAGGTAAAGTCCAAACATGTTCAGGATTCTTGGATATCACAGAAAGGTCAAAAGTTCAGCCATTAATTAAAATAGGGTTGGAAGTGCAACAAGGCAGTTGAAGGCAAAAAAATAGTGAGCATGGATGCATGCATACAAATTGTTCAACGGATGCTGACCATGCAGATGTGAAGGTATAATCCAACAGATCTCTTTGGATCAGCAACTGAGACAACTATTTTCCAGGCTGAGCATATGCTGGTGACCACAGTAATTCCTCCAGCTCCGACCAGAAACACAATGTCTCCCATCAGTGTCTGGTTGGTTTAGCAGTATCTTGTTTCACTGAGAGAGTGGCGACTGTTATTGAGAGTAATTAAAAGTGATCCAAGGGGTCATACAACTCAAACAGCATTCAAACTATAACTTCCTTCCTGAAATAAGTTAAATATCATTTGAATAAATAGAGAAAAAATCACGTCTGATTTCACAAATAAATTCATGGTTATATTTATGTATCAATACAAACAATCATGTCATAACACTACAAATTTATATAGTTAACACATAATTCTTGCATATGACTGTCTTGTTCAGAACTAATGTCAAGCAACACCCATAAGTTCGTTAGTTACCCTATTGCATCTATCAAACACATTTCTGAATCAAAATAATTCAAAACCAGTGTTTTCTTTCATCTCTAACAAACTAATAAAGAAGTAACCGTGATGTCACTTCACAAAGATTGGATCACATAATCCATAAATATCTCAGTTGTCTCAACTGCAAGATATTTCTTCACCAGCATCAGTGAAAATAATGGGTTCACTATGTTGTTTTTTAGTTAGTAGTGTGTAGGTTCTAAACTAACTCTGTGACTTTCTCTGAGTAAGAAATCACACGCTTAAAAAATTCCAGTTTGAAAACAAACTGTATCTTCTTTACTTTCATTAAGAGAACACATAATAAACCGTGTTTCTAAGCCATTGTGGAAACTCTTGCAAACATTAATTTCGGAATTTCTGTTCAAACATTGTTTGTGAAGTTAAGCTTCCTAGAGAACGTAGCCTGTATAAAACGTTATTGAAGAAATTAATTAATTCGTTATCGTTATATGGACTAGACTTCACAGTATTTTTACCAAATAATCAAAAATAACCGACACAATGGTGGGAAATGTTACATCATTGATGTCAGAAGTGGAATTATTCTGTGAAAAATAGTTTGCTTGTTTTGTTGAATTTCGCATGAAGATTGACGCAATGCATATGGATCTCTATCATTGCCAATTCTGCATTGTTTCCAGCCACCAGACACAGTTTGGGGGTAGCTTCAATGAGCCTTAACCCATAAGACTCCCGGTTGACTCCAAAGTACACTGAACTATGATGTTACACTATGAGCTCCACCTAATAGCATTGCATTGAATTTTACCTAACACGTGCATTTCACCAATCTCCTTGGTCATAGGTGACTCAAAACATCACATTGTGGCGCTAATGCTTCTTCATGAGTTTCTTGGTGTTCCATAAAGATCAGCCCAATAAGTCTCAGGAGATTAAGAATGCTACCATTGACTCCTTACTATAGGAAATAACAATTAGAGGTCGCGCAATAGGAACCTGGGTTTTCCTTGCCCCCTATCCACCTCTTGGACAAAGCAAGAATGTATACATAGCTGACAAAAGCTATGGTTTTAAGAAAGTGCTTCTTCTAATCTTTGTTGTAATCTCAGATTATGTCCTCACCGCAACTTCCTTCTATCCACTATAAGTTCTACAAAATGTCCTTCTGTGATCATAATTTTACAAATGTTATAGTACATAAAGGTCAAATGGAAAAAGAAGCATTTTCAAAATAAACAGATCCTATGGCACCACAGTGTTACTTTTTTAAACTATTCAGTGATATTCGGGTATATTGTTTTCCAATAGATAGGCTAGATAAATCAAACACGAAAAGAAAAGGAAGAGCAAGTAAACATAAATCAAGAAACAAATAAGATTTGTATTCCCAAACTTTTAATATATTCTATATACTGTGCAGTTGATAACGTTCCCGATGGCTGTTAGAGTAAAAATAAAAAAGGATTCCCCAAGAGGTCTGCACAGCACAAAAAACAGGAAGAATAATGTTGTACTGCAATTTCAAGTTAAACAAACGGGTATTATCCCATAGTCTAAATTTTACTAAATAGTGAATGATTATTCAACTGAAATATTAAACGGAGACAATGCACAGATGATCTTTTACAAGTATTTTTCTCATCTCTTGAGATGAGCATGTCACGCCCTTGGGAGTTTACATAGACACAGAACTAAACTGGTACAAACATCTATGAGATAGTCTTTGCCGTGTGTAACCTTTAGCTTAGAAAAAAAATGGTGTATTTTTATTAAGATCTTTGTACATTCGTTTTACAAAGTTATCATAACTAAGCTGAATACCTGCATGAAAATGCGGAAAATTTTCCTAAATATATTTTACTACAGCTATATTCTAAACCAGTTATAAAATTTCGGAAACAATTGCCCAAGATGTGGCAGTGGGTGGTGTTGACTAGCTGCCTTCCCTCTAGTCTAGCACTGTTAAGTTAGGGATGGCTAGCGCAGCTAGACCTCGTGGAGCTTTGCGTGAAATTCAAAACAAACCAATCGGAAATTATTTGCTCAGTTATTTTGATGGAAAAGTATAGGTGTGTGAATAGCGATTCTCCACTTCTCTATTTATATCTTTTTTCTTTTTTTTACTGAGTAAGGAGCGACCTCGGTTGACCAAATGTCTTTCCATTAGATTGATTTTGTGAGAGGTCCAGGTTGTAGAGGATTTGATGCCTTATTTGTCTTTAGCAGAGCTTCTGATCAAATACTGCTGAAGACGAATAGGACACTATATTCAGGCCTGGTGGTTTGGGACACTCGACTCGCAATCTGCAGGTTGTATCCACGTCACTGAACGTACTTGTCTTTTTTTTTTTGCCGTGGGGGCGTTATAATGTCATGGTCAATCTCATTTTTCGTTGGTAAAAAAGTAGCCCAAGCGGTGGTGGTGGGTGGTGTTGAGTAGCTGCATTCTCTCTAGTCTATCACTGATAAGTTAGGGAAGTCTAGCACTGATAGCCCTCGTATAGCTTTGCGCAAAATTAGAAACAAAACAGACACTATAATTCGAATAATTCAGTCTTTTTGTTTCATCTGTCTCTTATCCCTTGTTTTTGCACTTAATATCTAACTATATAACTTTTTAGTTACATTACTTAACCATCCCTATATTAATGCCTGAGTGCATCCAGTGTGAAAACGCGTCAAACTGAGTATGACAAGTATCGTTGTTGTCTGCTTATTTTTGAAATTAAATTCGCATTTTATTTATATAAACTGAACATATTCGTCAACATACATTTATAAACAATGATATCAGAAATCGACACAGAGGTTGTGAATGCGCAAAATTTGTAGTTCTACGGTTTTATTGGCCACCAGTTCCATAGGGAAGGACATGATTTTTTCATTTCGCAGATCTAAAAAGAAGCGAGATAGAGGGCGATGAATTATTCGAGTCAACGTAGAATGTCATGTATTTCATAATATTATGGTGCCATCTGTTGGAAATGTGATACATTGATTGTCATTATGTCGGAATATAGCGTAGTTGAGTATTTTCCTGGTCATGAAGGGCATCGTTGTGGTTATTGCAAATCCGAAACAACAAATTTTTCTAATGGTACTTTGATAGCTTAAAAATTAGTGTTTAGATATAATCTGTGACCTTTATAATAAACTGAATTTCAGAGACTGTACCTATTACTCTTAGGAGCTATAATACTTTTGGTACTGGTAGGCCTAGGCTGAGTAACTCGGTACTACTGACAGTAGTACTCGTAGTACTAGTAACTGTTAATCATAATTATTAGTGTTACTACCTTGGCCTTGTACAAGATTCAAGTTGCATTGTGTTTTTAAAAACTAATTAAGCTTTAAGTTTAAAAGCTTAGATTTTGGCTTAAAGTTAAACTTAAAGCTAGGTCAACACTCTTTGATGTACTGCTTTTATTTTTAATAAATGTTTTATGTCAATTACCTAAAAGTATAAAGTGATAAAAGTACATCAAATTCCAATGGTAATAATTATATACTACTATTTTTTGTCAGTCTGTGAACAGTGGACAGGTACCAGAGGATTAGAAGTTAGCTAATGTAACTCCTCTTTTTCAAGGGAGGTGATAAAAATTGTCCCAGTAATTATACTATATACCCATTACTGGCATTACTCTTAAATCAGTTGTGGGAAAAGTTTTGGAAAGTCGGTTAAAAGATGCTTTGAAAAGTCATTTAACAAAGTTTAGAATTTTATTGGATAGTTAACATGGTTTCACTAAGGGAAAATTTTGCTTTACAAAGCTTTTGACATTCTTTGAAAAGGTTACTGCTTATGTAGATGAGGGTAAAGGTGTAAATTTGGTGTATCTGGATTTTCAGAAAGCATTTGATAAGGTGCCACATAGAAGGCTTGTAAAGAAAATTATCTATATAGGTATGGAGGATAAGTTAGCAAATTGGATAGACGAGAGGCTGGAAGAAAGCAGAAGGTTGTTACAAATGAGAGTTCAGTCAAACTGGATTAATGTCACAAGTAGGGTACTTTAGGACCCTTACTCTTTTTGATTTACATCAATGACATAGATAAAAGAATTGTCAATAAATTACTTGAATTTGCAGATGATATTAAAGTCTTGGGTGTTGCTGCTGTGAAGAGGATGCTGCTGATTTACAAAAGGATTTAGCTCATTTAGTGAGTTGAGCAAATAAATGGCAGATGGGTTTTAGTTATAATAAATGCAAAATAATGCATGTTGATTATCATAATTTGAATTATATGTATCATTTTGATGGGAATAACCTTAAGTGTTATGAAGGAAAGGGATATTGGTGTATCAGTCAGTCTCTAAAGCCCTCCAAGCAGTGTGCTGTTGCTAGTGGTAAGGGAAAAAAGATTTTAGGTTGTACTACAGAAATATATTGAATACAAATCTTAAGAGGTTATATTTTCGTTGTACAGGTCATTGGTTAGCCCACATTTGAAATATTGTGTTCAGTCTTATGCTCCTTACCTTAGGAAAGACATTGGATGAAGGGGTTGTCATAGAGGAGTGGCTGAAATCTCACAAATTGTTTTATTTTGAAAAAAGAAGTTATGGGGGGGATCTGATTGAGGTGTTTAAGATTGTAAAGGGAATTGATAGTGTTGATGCATCACCTTTTTTCATATTTAACTGAGAATAATAGAACTAGGGGACACAAATTTTGGCATGGTAGGAGTCGTCTTTGGCTAAGACGGTTTCATTTTTCTAACAGGGTGGTTGGCCTTTGGAATGGGTTGCCTTCCAATGTTGTTGAGGCAGTAAATTTAAGTGAGTTTAAGAAAAAGCTTTATATATATGAATGAATGATAAAGGCTAGCTTGAAGATTTTGTTTATCTTAGAAGATGGAACAGTCGAGATGGACCAATAAGTCCCATGTTGTCTCAAAACATTGTTATATGTTATAACTTTACGATAAATTAAAAGTTCAGCTCAGTCCAATAGGTATAACACTAAAGTACTTTAGTTCAATAATAGTTGTATGTTATAAATTATTAGTTTCACCAAGATTTCAAGGCGGTAGGTTGTGTCTTTAGTCTGCTCAAAATTTAATATTTTTTTAGGCTGAAATACAGCTTAGTAACTAAGCTTGATAGATTATAGTGGAATTCTATGGTATTGATATAGTAATTTA